AAAAAATAACAAGCGCGTAAAACTTATCGTATAGACTAGGACAGCATTACTTTAGCTTGTGTCAAATACAAGCATACGGAATGCAACATACAAAAGAAACGCCTCTCGTCTCAAGTTGCTCGTTTATGATTATCGTAGCATGTCAGCACATAGAAACAGCTTTCTCTATGAAACAAAATAATTCGAATAATAACCAGTGAAAGAAGTTGTTACACGATAATGAATACAATACATGTATTTATTATATTATTTTTGCTCTGATAAGAAATTCTGTCAATCTCTTAAATGTTTATATCGTATGCTATTATTTTATTTTATTTTATTTTATTTTATTTAATAAATATTTTTATCAAGTCTAATAAATATTTTGATGTCCACAGCTTATGCGAAAGAAGATAATGGAGAATATGAGGGAAAATATTTGGGAAAGTTAAATCCCTATCATCATCAAGTTTCTGGTGATGTTTCGGCTGTGGATCAATATACCTTACTGTTGACGTCTTTTAATTATGATGATAATGGAGCTGATACGTTTTTCTGGGCAGGAGCATCGAATAGATCAGGCCCGCAAGGATTATCGTCCCCGATGAGTGGGGCAAGTAAGCTGTATTTTTTTTTCTCTATAAATGTTTAAACAAATTTCGAAATTAAATTCAACTATAAATCACTCAGTTTTCAATTCTAATAATTGCTTGGTTTTCAAAACAAATATATTAGATCGCTATTTCAACCGGGATTAAACACTTATCTTACCCGATACAAAGTCAAGTAAGTATAAATTTTAAGTGTAATGTATTATGTGTGATTTCATGCTAATATTATTTCATATTTAGCACTAATATCTATGTAATATCGTAAAAGCAAGAATAAGTTAGATGCATTTATAAAGCGTATTTTAAACATAAAATATTCAAAGTATTTAATACATTACAACTTGTTCTATTCTTGTTTATAAATTTAGATATTGTATCATTTCGATAACAGGCTTAATTAAATGATGTATTGCCATATTACTAAGATATAATTGTTATCGTTTTGAAATTTTTGTGCCATGATTAAGGTGAGGTGTCAGTTTAGTTACTTAAAATTGTTTTTCAACTTTAGAACACCTTCGGTGATGTGTACGTTCCGGAAGAGTTTGATCCACCCACGCCACAAAAGATATCACAGCTGTCGAAAAGATCTCACAATGTCTCGTCTAAACCCATCGTGATTTTGGATTCAAAAACTATCAGCATACCATAATTTATGTACGATGGGCAAGGTGTGGACACGTATTTCTGGGTCGGTCTTGGTCCGCAACCATCCAGCAAGAGTCACAAAGTACTCGATGAATATAGATAGTAAGAGAGAAATAATAGAGAATGTTATAATTTTTAAAAATCTATTACACTTATTTTTTTGCCACAAATATATTGATATACTCCAAGGATTACA